TGTGTGTGTGTGTGTGTGTGTGTGTGTGTGTGTGTGTGTGTGTGTGTGTGTCAAATTGGGGGATATCCAAACTGGGTACACGTCTTACAATTCCCTTTAAAGAAATCGCGATCTACATTCTTCAAAGGGCTGGACACAAAACAAAACCAAAAAAAACAATAGAGAAAACTGCGTTCTGTTACACTCACCCATAATAATGTTCCGGGTAAAGAGGAACGTATCGCCAAGAAGCGTCCACGTCTTCGCTGAGCAGCCGATCCACGTCCTCAGAAAAGGTGGAGTACTCCTCCATGTTGAGACTATCCCGCCGCCGGCAGCCCCCGGCCCTCGGGGGACTCTCATCGCTCGGGTGAGGCCCGACACGGACGTCGGGCGGTTCAGGCCCGTTGTAAGGACCCATCCCAGGCGGGTAGAACCCGTACGGAACAGGACTCCGCCTGGGGCTGCCAGGAAATGAGGGCGAAGAGTTACTTCCCCCCGCCTGGTGAAGACGCTGCTGTTGGTAGTGCGGGGGGAGCGGGTGCTGCTCAATGTGATACTGATAACGTCGTCCACCTTCGTCTTCGTCTTCGTCGTCATTATCGTCCCTCGTTCTCGACGACGGCTCGCTCTTCTCCTTCTTCCCGTGCAGCTGGTTGTAGATCATGATATCCCCGATGTTGTCATCCTCCTCGTTATCGGTAGCCCTCATGAAGGAGTCGAAGGCTTCCTGCGAGAACTTGCTGTTCCCGATGTAGTAGTCGTCGTCGTCATCGTCGTCGCCGACGCCGCCCGTGAGGCGATCTATCTCCTCCTCCAGACGTTTGTTCTCGTCGTTTACATCCTCCTCCTCCTCCACCGTCCGGTCCTCACCGCGAGCCTCGTTATCCGACTCCTTATCTTCCGACGATGACGACGGCGACGACGATGACACAGGCGGGTCGATACTGTCGATGAAAATCTTCCCGTTCTTCACGATGACCGCCTGGAGGGGCATGTTGTCGTGGTCCAGGGGCTCCAGGATCCCGCCTCGCATGGTGGGTGGGGGGCTGTGCACCAGGCCGCGGTCACCCATTGACAATGGCCATGTTCAGCACAGGCGAGCGCAATAAGAAATCGACCAATCACACAAACACAAACTCTCAACGTAATGAAACAGTAACGTATATAGAGCTACATGTGAAATCTATCCATCGTCTTCTTAACAAGCACAGACTACAGTACCTGTAGATATCAAAACGGGGAATTAACTCATAATCCAGAAATCTCGGAGCACACACGCAGCGCAATGAGGATAAATCAAACTCTTGAACCACAGGGAAAATTCGACGATTGCTTCCTTAGAACTGAACACAGAATTAACTCAAAATGAAACCGAGCGCGAACTTGTAATCCAGAAACAACATACAATGTACGTTGCAACGTCGATACATTTACTGCCCTCGCGAACATGGTGTGTAATAATTAATCGCAGTAAATCACGGTAAACGTAAATTGAAGAAGACGAAAATTCCAAAATTACACGCAAATTGGAGTGCAGTAAATGCAGACTAAATAAACCCGGACAGGTACACCAATACCTTTTTTTTTTACGTGGTGAATTCTTCGGCACCTCAAACAATGACCGGTAACCTAATCTATAAAAGAACACTTGTCCTGGACACTCTACTTACTAACACAAAAGACGAGGTACTACTCGTTCGTTTCATTTTTAGTTCAAACAATAATTCCCCATTCTGGGTTTTGAGGTCATACCTTTTAAAAAAACAGAATCCTCTTTTCTTTGTTAAGTACGACGAAAACAACCAAGGATTTAAAAAAAAAAAAACAACCCAAAACCCTCGGGAAAAAGATTCCACAGATCGAATGAGTACAACAGATCCATTTGCCTGTCTAACCGACAATCCGGTACCTTTTTCGTTCTCGTTTTGTACTGAGGATTTGAGATGCGAGATCGAATTTGGAAGATCCAGAAATGGTTGAACACGGGCAGGGCATGAAAACGGTGAGGGGGGGGG